ACGCCTGTGCCCCCCTTTACCACACACTCTGAAGTACAAGGTATTTTAGACCGACTTTTCCAATCGTCTGGACCGTCTGAATTCAAACTCCTCCCTTCCCCTTCCTTCTACGCCCGTGACCCGACGTCTACTACTCGCTCGATCGCTACAATGGTGGCAGCGGGTACCCCACCCGCCCCTCCCTCCGATTTCCCAGTTACCCACGCACCACTCCCCAACCCCACGGTCGAGTACGCGTATAACCTAGGCCCCAGCGCCCTTCTAGCCCCTGAGCCGTACGTTCCAGAGAGCAACATTCACGATTGGCTCCGAGACCTGGATCTTTTTTTAGTCACGGTCCCCATTAATCAACGCACCTGCTACCTGATACGTTTCCTGTCCGCCCCCGCCCGTAAGCGTGCCTTCGATGCGGGAATCGACCACACAACTCCGTTCAACGTAGCGCGTAGTACTTTTTGCAGCTCTTCCACACACCGTCCTCTACAGGAATCGCAGCCGAGCGATTCGCCACCCTAAGACAGACACGTGACCAGTCTGTCGATGACTTCGCCAACCAGTTGTCCCAACTCGCCCTAGCGGCGTTCCCCAACCTCCCCCCACCAGACCGTAACGCCCTTATACTGCATCGTTTTATAACCGGTCTCAGCGATCCTAACGTTACAGACATCCTTCTCCTTCATCCCCCTACCAGCTTGACTGCCGCCATACAACAATGCCGGTTATATACGGCTTACCACCAAGACCGCAGACCCCATCCAGTGCCCCTCACCGTTGCTCCTCGCTCAGAATCACGCCCACCCCCTCGGAAGGTACACCTGCCCGTACGATTCCCACACCATAACCCAGGCTGTGAATACTGCGCGGCATTTGGCCCCGATGCCCACCACTGCGGCCACAATCCCCCCCCCCGTAAGTCGTCCCCCATTGACATTATTGCTTTTTCTGTTCCATATTGTAACCACACGTTTACAGTTAATGTTTTGCTCAATAACCACACATTACCGGCCCTTGTTGACACTGGAGCTAATGCTTCCCTTATCAATGTTCGTGATTTACCTCAAGAGTATCTGAGACTCATAGAACCTTCGTCAAAAGCCAGCAGTTTACGAGCTGCTAACGGGACATGTATTCCTATTTCTGGTAGTATCACTATCCAGTTCGGCGTCAACGACTCCACACTGACTTATAATTTCCTAGTGACCCCTGTGAGCCCTTGGCCCATCGTCCTAGGTCTTGACTTCCTCACAGATAATGATTGCACCATTTATACTCGGCACAGACGCCTAGTGATAGGCTCACCCAACTCCCCGACTGTAACGCCAGTCCCGTCAGGCGATTTTGACCTCGCATATAACGCCGTTCTCTCAGCTGCAGCCTTAGAACCTACCCGTTTGGACGACGTCCTACCTACCCTTTCAACGGTCGGCCCCATCGCCCATAAACAACAAGGTATACTACTCACTTCGTTTTCCGACCTGTTCTCCTGGTCCACGGACACCCTCGGCCGTACACGACTGGTACAACATACCATCGACACGGGTGACGCCAAACCCCTCTGGCACCTCCCCCCCGACGTATCCCTGTTCGTTACCGTGATGAAGTCGACAAACTTCCAGACGAGCTGTTACGGGCCAAGATTATCCAACTATCTTCCTCCCCTTGGGCTTCACCTATTGCGTTAGTTCCCAAGAAGGATGGTTCTCTACGCCTGTGATGACTACCGCCGTTTAAATGCAGTAACAGTGAGAGATTCATTTCCGTTACCGAGGTTGGATGATACAATAGATGCGCTAGGCCAGGTTGCTTGGTTCTCAACCCTCGATCTTAAGTCGGGGTACTGGCAAGTGGAAATCCACCCCACCGACCGTCAAAAGACGGCTTTCACCGTCCCCCAGGGTTTATATGAGTTCCAAACGCTCCCCTTCGGCCTATGCAACGCAGCAGCCACCTTCCAACGGTTAATGTACCGTGTACTCCGTCATCTCATCCCCTATAAATGCCTCGTCTATCTCGACGATATCATCGTATTCGGGCGTTCCACAGAAGAGCACAATTCAAACTTACGGGAGGTGTTGGGGGCGCTCCAGGAAGCTGGCCTTACCCTCAACCCCACCAAATGTCTTTTCCTCCCTTCCGAGGTTCAATTTCTTGGCTACCTTATTTTCCCCGGTCGTATCTCCCCACTACCAGACCGGATCAAACACATACGTACGTGGCCGACCCCGACGAACCAAACGGAGCTGCGAAGTTTCCTAGGCCTCGCGTCGTACTACCGATGTTTCATTCGAGATTTTGCCCAGATCGCCGCCCCTCTGCACAAGTTAACCGAGAAAGGCCGCCCTTATACATGGTCCGCCGACTGCGACATCGCATTCAACAACCTCCGTGCGGCATTATGCTCGGCACCACTCCTAGCCCTTCCAAACGTGGACGACGACGCTCCCCCGTTCACCCTAGATACTGATGCAAGTGGATTCGCCATCGGGGCCGTATTGTCACAAGTCGGTAAAGACGGCATAGACCACCCTATCTGTTCCGCCAGCAACACGCTGACCAAAACACAGCGTAACTACTGCACCTTCAGGAGAGAACTGCTGGCGATCATTATGTTCATTCGCCAGTTTAAACACCTCCTTGTCGGCCGAAGGTTTATTCTACGTACAGACCATCGAGCCCTACAGGGGCTACGTTCCATCAAGGATCCGATGGACCAACTAGCCCGTTGGCAGGAGTTTTTACAGGACTTCGATTTTGAGTGCCAGTTCCGCCCGGGTCACAAACACGGTAACGCGGATGCACTGTCACGCCTTCCTAACACTACCAACCCAGCAGACGAGCCCCACGACGCGGCCGTTAACGCTATTATGGTTGCAGAACCAACCCGTTACAACTGGTCCTCAGCCCAGAGCTCTGACCCCGATACAACTGTTATCTATTACCATTTGACCCAAGGGTTATCCAAACTCAGCGAACAAGCAATGCGCGGAACGAGCCAAAACGCACGTTTGCTGTTAAACCAATGGCCCCATCTAGTCGTCCTACACGACATCTTATTCTTCCGCGATCCCTCATCCCATCATCTACGCCCAGTAGTTCCTGACTGTTTAGTTGACACCGTACTAGCCGACCTCCACTCAGAGTTAGGCCATTCCGGCCAGCGCCGGACAGAGCTAGCCGCCCGCATGCGCTTTTGGTGGCCGCAATTACGCACCTCCGTCGCCCACTTCTGTCAATCATGTGCTACGTGTGCATCCTTCAAAACGCCCAGCTCCACCCTCCGAGCCCCGATGCAACCAATGACCACTGGATTCCCTGGTGAACGCGTCGGGCTTGACATCATAGGGCCGCTCCCCATCTCTATCCTCGGCTATGAATACATCCTTGTCATGGTGGACTATTTCACTAAATGGGTCGAGGCCACTCCCCTTCTCCGACAGGATGCAACCTCTGTCGCGAACGCCATCACGCGCACTTGGATAAGCCGCTGGGGTGCCCCGTTAGCGTTCCATTCAGACTGCGGCAGCAATTTTGACTCCCAGTTATTGAAGGATTCTGCGACACCCTTCAGATACACAAAACACGGACCACACCTTACCACCCGGAAGGAAACAGCCTTGTGGAACGCACGAATAGCACGCTGCACAACCTCCTACTCGCTTTCTCTAAGGACAGCCATGAGCACGACTGGGACGTACACCTGCCTTTCTGTCTCTTAGCCTACCGTGGCTCCGTCCATTCCTCCACCGGTTTCACCCCCAACTACCTATGGACCGGGCGAGACATACGCCTGCCGATCGACCTTCTCTACCCCTTACCCAGACCCGACGCAACCACCCCAAACGATTACGCCACACGCTTACGCGAGATCATCCGTAGCGCACATAACGCGGCCCGGACGACCCTAGGGAGTTCATCACTCCATCAGAAGGAACAGCACGACCGGCATTCATCCGGCACTATGCATCAGATTGGTGACCTTGTCATGTATTACAACCCTTCGCACCCCCGCGGAACGTCCGCCAAGTTCCATTACCCCTGGCAAGGACCCTTCGCCGTGTTAGACACCCCCTCCCCCACCACCCTGCTTATCCGTGACGCCATCTACCCCAACGCCCGCCCCTTTACCGCACACTTTGACAAGCTTAAGCCCTACCGAGGCCGCCTACCAACTTGCTCACCCGACTCCTTACCCGTACTCCCTGCTGACCAGGTCCCCCCGGTAGCTATCGAGGTCACCGTCCCACCACCCCTTGTCGATCTCAGCACTGAGGACAGTGCTCCACCTAAGGGGATGGCTATGTAACAGTCGGAGATCTGACCAGGGACCCGACCTTGAGTGTTTGAATAGACTGGACTTCTTTCGTTTTGTTTTGCAGAGTCTACGCTCCGAAAACCACGTGCCGACAATTAACTGTCAACACACCGATAAGTCATTCTGTCATTTTCTTTCGTTTTTACGTTATCTCATTATTATATTTCCTTTTCGCATATTACAATAAACTTATATCTTTTTGTCATTTTCGTTATCTATATCATGTCTCGTACGCCTGTGCCCCCCTTTACCACACACTCTGAAGTACAAGGTATTTTAGACCGACTTTTCCAATCGTCTGGACCGTCTGAATTCAAACTCCTCCCTTCCCCTTCCTTCTACGCCCGTGACCCGACGTCTACTACTCGCTCGGTCACTACATCGTAACAAATGTCAACTTATCCGGTTACGTTTGAGCAACAGGAGGTCGTTGAGATTTGAATCTCAGTACTTTATAGGAGGTCACCAACTCGAATCAGTCAACGAGTTAAGAGACCTCGGTGTGTGCATGACGTCAACCCTCAAACCATCGTCTCACTGTGCCAAGGTATCAAAGAAAGCTATGGGCACCCTAGGCGCGATTAGAAGATCCTTCGTCAATTTTGATGAAGAACTTTTCGGCCGAGTATTTGGCGTATACGTTTGACCAATGTTGGAATATTGTGTCCAGGCATGGTGTCCCCGAACGAAAAAAGATTACACCCTACCGAATAACATACAATGAAGAGCGACCAAGTTAGCCGGCGGATTAAGTAGCTTACCTTACCAGAGACGGCTGGAGAAGTTAAAATATTTCCTCTCTCTTATAGGCAGTACAGAGGGGATATGGTCATGACCTTCAGTTTGACAATTTCTTCGAACTGGCGCGGACGACAAGTCTTCGAGGGCACCAATACAAACTGAAGACGAAATAAGCCAAACTCGAGTTGCGGGCCAAATTCTTCTCCCACCGGCTGGTTGAGGGAAGGAACAAATTGCGAACTCCGTTGTCTTAGCGGAAAACGTCGAGACTTTCAAAAGAAGACTAGATAAATTTATGCTTGATGGTCAAACATTTACATGATATCAATGACTGGAATAACTGTTATGTAAATATTCGCATGTTTTTTTTCATACATCTATCTGTAAATATAGTTTTCCAAGGCTCTGCCTCTATCCCTCATATATACTGAATTATACTGAATAGCCACCTGCACCCTCCCTCGCCTCCGGTCTTCTTGACTTTGTCTTGACCTCGGGTCCATATGAGGAGTGGGAAAGAGAGAGTGCGGTGGACACTGCGCAAGCTTACTATCACTTTAAGCTAATTCACGCGCATGCCACCGTGTCTGCTGCATCTTGCTGTCAGGCACATGTTGGACATCGTCGGCAACGACAGTCGAACTGCCGTATTATCCTTACCAAATAAACTCAGACACAAGTGAAACTAGGTCTTCCTCCACCTGGCACTAACTTCCTAACATTGTTGCGTTGGCTTTGCGAAAGTAGTTCTTCCCCTAGGTGGCCGCTGAGACGAAGGCAAGCGAAGATCTTCACGCCGAAGATGAGTAACGAGGTGCCTCCATGGTCATCACTGACTTACTAATTTCCTTTGCGCTTGTAGAGATAGACGATTATCGCATACTTGAGATTCTGAGGTACCTGTCCTTGGCTCCACCTATCCCCAAAGAGCACTGTGAGGTTAGATAGATAGATAGATAATTTTTATTAAAGACCCGTCGGGGTCCCATCAAAACAAGTTAAAATAAATTTGCATGCGAGTTTTAGACGAGGTAGGCCGAATCTTTACAAAATGCAATTCCTAGTTTCTAAATTAGAAGCCCATTGAGGAACATGATGATTGAGGGGTGAAAAAAAACTCCTAAGAAAAAGTTAAAAATGATTGG